TTAGGATCCATAAGCCTCCTGGGGCGGACCATCTTAATGGGTCCTCCACCCTTGCGGAGGTTAGGGGGCGCAATTATTTTATATCTCGGATTCAGAGAGGTTGTACAGTGGCCAGAAGGTTACTCTGCTTGGCCAAGTGGTGCACTGGAAATCCCAATATTCAAGCTGAACTCTGTCTACAGTTCTGTATATTGTATATTAAAACTTAAGTGATGCATATAGATTAATAAAATGTTTAAAATTTCTCAAAGTGATCAGATGGTGAACTCTCCTTCTTTGGAGGTCCATAAACAGAGGCTAAATGGCCATATATTAGGAATGATTTAACTGTGTATTCCAGCATGGCTGGGGACTGGACTGGATAGATCTTGTAGTCCTTTCTAACTCTTATGATTCTACGAATTCTTCATTGTTAAAATATATGATAATTTTAGGATGATTTTCTGATTAGATAGATTTAACAGTTTCACAACTATTTCATAATAAACATTTTCACGATGTACAATTATTTATTAAAACAAATATGTTCTTTGCCAATGAAAATAATGTTCCTCAGCAAAATGACTTTTATCCACATGAAAATTCTATTTCAAGGCCTCTTTATATGTTCTCAAAATGGTTGAAAGAAATGTTGAGTCTTCCAGTTTCTTTTGCCAGCTCACTTCTGCCTTCCAGTTTGCTGGCAGCAACATGGAAATTGCAATAATCCTGTTATCTAAATTGCTTCAGAGAGCAAGTCTATTGTAAATTGCATTCAGTTGCCAGCGCATAAAAGCAGAACAGAGTATCAGGGTAAAAATACAACAAATGTTGGGAGAGATATTTGGGACACAAGGAAAAAATAGAAAATTTAGGGTAAAATAGACACTTAGGAAGTAAAACATCCACAAAAGGAACATACTGAATTAATATTTTACCTTAGTAGCCCAATTGGCCATTTGTCCAAGCAGATGATAATTCTATTCAGGGGATATGGCAATGCAGGAAAGATCTCAACTAGAATTAACTCCTAAAGATACCTGAAAGAGACCTAGTCCAAATAATGGACATTCCCTGCCAAAAATGATCGGGCAATCAGGACTTCTTTGTAAATAAGACTTCAAAAATATGAATGAGTGTATATCACAGGTAAACATTTTCCTTGAAAAGTATTTGTAGTCAAGGCTGATTAAAAGTTAACGGAATGGGAGAAATAATTTGCAATCAATTCAAAGGATTGCAATCATGATTGTAAAGGGTCTGGAAACAAATTAATGAAGAGTGACTATGTTAACTTAGAGAAGACAGAGGATAACCAACATTAAATATCTCCACAATGGGCACATAGAAGATCAAATAAAACTATCT